TCATTATTGTGTGATGATACATGGTTTATCGTCAAGGGAAATATAGATATTTAGTTGTCTGTTTGGGTAACTAATTACAGCTACTGTTTCCTGAATATAATAATTGAAATTTCATATGCTTACCTATTTCTGAAATGTGTGTCAAATCCAACTGAACCCAGATATGATTTATTTCTTTATTTGGCATTGTGTAACACCATATGTTGTCGTCACTCCACTGGTTGTTAAAAGCGAAATAGAGGTGAAAAGAATATGAATATAAATCGATGAGAATCTACGTCTTGGCTCAGATGAATATAAATAGTTACACCGAAGCTCTAATATTTCTCCTCTGCATTCTAGAACCATGTCAACGTCCCATTCGTTAGATGTACGTACATGTAAAACGCATTAGCACAGTGCCGATATTCAGGATGGTTTCGGCACACGAGCCAGACATTTGGGATTTCAATTATGCGCACGATTTTCTACTATTTTTTCAATTTTGCCTGTGTTTGTTCGAGGGGAACGTGTATTTGTACTGACTGTTACAGACTAACATCTAGTCTCTGAAATGAACATATTTTACAGAAGAAGTTGTTCTTAAAAAATAATCATAAGATATCATGAAAAGGAGCCGGAGACTGCAGAACTCTAGACTTGCCACATATTCTACACTTGCATGGGCTTTCTTGGATATATTTGTTTCAGGGTCTGTATGACAGACTATGACTGTTATGAACCCATCACACACACATGCGCTAGAAAAGGTATCATGTAATGGAAACATTTCTAAGTGGAAATATGATGTAAATATAACATAGTCAAACACCACTGAGTCCAACGTTGATGTGCCGAAGGTACGGTTATCACGAAGTGAAAGCTTGGTCACTGTGCATTCTTAATGCGATCATCATTTTCCGGCTGTGTGGAACCTCGGTTAACTCGAAAAATATCTTTAGGTGCATTTAACTTTGACACAACGTTGTCAATAAGAATTTGAAAAAATACCAAAACCATAACTGCAATATTTGAAAAAAGTCCCCACTACGAATAGTTCAGTGTTGATTCCGACTGGGATGTGTATATCGGTCAGTATGAAAATTAATAGGTTTGAACTTTTGAGATATTCAAATGTTAATTTAAACTAAATTACTATCGGAAATACAAAAACACACACACTGTTTTTATGCTGCGACTCTGTATCCCTAAAATTTACACAATTGCAAATAGGAGATGTCGAAATAACCCACATCGGCCTAACTGGGCGGTCAGTGGGATGGGTAATAGGATATCCGGAAAAGCATGTTTACTTGTAAGATCGGGCAGAACTTATAAATATTACGAATAGCTGCGGAAAACAATAGGTCAGACTATAGATGGCAATTAGGTCGCTCAGCCAGGTATGACGATGGACCGTCGACTCACCTGGCATTAAAGGCATGTGCTGCCTACAGGCAAAGGGGGTCATCTCAAAGATATTTTATGCTTTTTCATCATGTGTGTTGAAAATGTCTCATCTATTGATTAAAATCTTATGTGTCTTTCATTACGTTCATGTTGAGATATGTAAAAGAGTATGATACTCATAGAAAAGCTTAAATCAGCCATCGTATTAAATGTCTCAAAATAAATAGGTGGCATAACCACCCGAAGATCGAAAGGACTGGATATTATTTGTAAATTGTTAATACATACCGTTTGCTTCCCCAGTTTAATTCCCCTAAAGGATTATCTTATCTCAGCTGATATCTCTATCCCCCAGCCCGTCCTGGTTTTGCTTTTGAGACGACCCCTCATACCTGTTTCTTTTTGTAGGAATAGTGAGATTCCATGGTAGCTACATCCTACACCCACGGATTACATGTATGAGTGACACAGACATACCAGACCCTGCAACCAAATAGGAAATTTGTAGTATAAAGTTGATCGAGTCGATTTAAGCTCATGAGTCATACGAGGGTGGAGTGCCATCAGATTGGATCAGAGCATTCTTGAGTGTTTTGAGCCGATGACTGAGTTCGGACGCACATCGGAATGGGCCCCCAGATGGTCAAATGGTGTTTAGTCTTGTAAGAGTTATCTCCCATCACGTATCGCGCTGTTATGTCATCAACAGGTGAGGTGAAGTGAAATTGGGTTTAACGTCGTGCTTGAGAATATTTCGCACATATGACGATGTGCGTGCGTGTGTATGTGTATGTGCGGCTGCTTGTACTAGCCCAGATTGAAGTTGGTTTTATAGTGCTAGCCCACTGAGATACCATGCCGCAGTGAATCATGAATACCCCACTCAGGCACATTATACCGACTCCGAGACCAGTCCTTGTTGTACCCATTAATGCCGAGCGCTAGGCAGGGACCAACAAGTACCATATTTTAACGTCTTTGGTATGACGCGGTCGGGGATCATCAACAGGGCATTTTATTTCGTGTGTGATACAAGATGAAATAAAGCGGCAGTAAAATCAGTTTTATTACTGCACCTTGCCAGATTGTCATATGTTCTGAAAATATATGTTGTAGGTTCAAAAATAATTCATAAAGTGAAAGAATCTTTTGAAGCGTTGATTGAATATTTTAATTACCAAAAAATAGAAAAAAGACAAAAATGAAATAAATTAGAAACAGAAAAGTTGTTCATGGTTTCCATGGCAGAGTAGTTGGCCGTGTCCTGCACCGTTCATGCTATCGACCACAAGTTAGTGGCTCAGTCGTCAGTGCCAAACATGGCAGGCAAATTTATAAGGCGGCGGTCTGTAAATAGTGAGTCTTATCACACAATCCAGGGATCAACAGCATGGACATTGATCTACTCGATTAAGATACGATACATGTGTGCAGTAAGTCAGTGAGACTGACCACCTGATCGCTAAGTCGTCTCTTTGGACAAGCATGGGTTGCTGAAGACCAACTCTTACCCGTATCTTAACAGGTACTTCAATAATATGACACTGAAATACTCGTGGATGTTCAATAATCAATTAGTCGAACATAAAACATCCTCCTAAAAGAAAGCTAAACACTATACAGTATTGCCCACCGGAATCTTCAGCATGGCTTAAATGCAGACAAGCATGGGTTGCTAATCACCAGTTTAATCCCTATCTCCACAGGTTATATGATATAAGTCTTACCACACACTGTAATTACCATTAAGATTGAAACCCACATGACACCATAGGGAGCATCCACAAAAGAGAACCACAGGTACAGCAGCCAACAGCCAGCACACACTGTGGTCAAAGTCGTTGCTGTGACGGCAGCGTAGAGGTTGAGGTGAGCACGGATTCTTAAGAACAGAGGTCCTAACATGTTACCTGTTGCAGTGACTGGAGGGATCAGCCTGAAGAGTTGCAGTGTGACAGGATACATTGTTGACCTCGACGTGCTGGTCCAAGACCACTGGCAGGTGCGCCCTGTTCATTAACATAAGGGGCATGATCAGTACCAGTGTAAAATAAAGTTTGAGGTGAGGTTAGGTGAAATGGGGTTTAACGTCGTAGTTAAGAATTTTTCACTCTCATGACAACGTCTGTATGTGTGGCTGCTTGTACTAGCCCAGACTTAAGCTGGTTTTATAGTGCTAGCTCACTGAGATACTATGCCGCAGTGAAGCATGAATACCCCACTCAGAAACATTATACTGACTCCGAGCCGACCTGTCCTTGTTGCACCCATTAATGCCGAGCGCCAGGCAGGGACCAACAAGTACCATATTTTAACGTCTTTTGGTATGAAGAGCCTGGGGATCGAACCTGCGACCTTCAGCTCTCCGGCGGACGCTCTAACCACTACACCGCGAAATAAAGTTTGAATAATAAATTTTAATTGAAACATGAAAGGCTGGCCATGGCTGGCATTATTGTCATCAAAACGATGGTTGTTAATAGGATAAGTAAGACAGTCAGATATAAGGACATTGGGAGAGTTCAGTGATAAAAGCGTTCGCCCACCACACCAAACACTTGGCTTCGATTCCTGACATGGGTACAATGTAACCCATTTCAGGTGTCCCCCGCCTGGAGACTTCAGAAAAAACTGCAACTAAAATATTCTCGAATTGAAAAAGTAGATACTCATGAGATGCTGAATTCAAGCAGAAAACTTAATCTGAAATTCAATTTACCACCCCTCGACTTTATGATTGACTGAAGGAAAACCAACTTCTATGGATAGTCAATTTATTTACTCAATACTGTAATAAAGAAGTTGACTATCCATAGAACTTGGTTTTCCTTCACCTATACAACTTCTACAAATGCCTCTCGAAGAAGTTTATGATTGACTATACCATACTCACATCGCACAGTGCCAGCAAATACAGTAAACCAGACCATGCTTAACCAGAGACGGCGCGACGCAGCTTAAGAATGGTGTGACTATAGAAATATGATACAACATTCATCCAGTAGTATTACTGTCCCAGTCTATCTAACTGCCATTCACACATGTGTCACACGTAATACATCAATATTTTATGGCATATAATCGTACTGAAGCATGTGAACATTTCTAAACACATATTATCACTTAAATTTTAATGTCATACATTTCATTTGTGCCAAAGACGATAGCTATGAAAGGGTACGCGAAATTGTGTCGCCGCTGTGCTTAGTTCCCATACATTTCACTGACAGCATAATGTATAAGAGCGCATATTCTTTATGAATTACGACTATCAAGTTGCTATTATAGATTTATTACCAATACTTAGTGCCAATAAATGATTGAACAAAAACTTACAAACTCGCTGACATGAATACTAAATGCCTTTTCGGAAGTGGTCAGATGTAACATATATTGTGTTATATTTGATCATAAGTTTCTCAGGAAAGTACAGATTCGAGTACATTATTTTGAAATAATAAAAATTGTTGTATTTATAAATGCTTCCACATAAGGACGTCAGAGTGCAGTATGCCAAAACCAATCCTCATTTTCCAAGGTACTATTTCAGTTTTATCTCTCCTGACCCTGAATTGTAAAGGCCAAGGTCGTGATAACCTATATGCAAGTGTTTCAAAACTGTTACAAAGTTCCACAATGGACAACCATGGCATGGAGGTGATATATTCACTAGTACTGGTCACCCTGTTTCTACCATATTCTTCTCCAGGTATTTCACTTTCCAATCAATTACTTATTCTGAATATATATCATTGCACATTACATTTTGACACAGATATGTTTTTTGATTTTGAGTTAAGCTTTCTGTATGGAACAAACTTTATGGATAACAACTTCTTTTATTCGTCAGTGCAACGTTTCGATACAGATTCTTGTACCGTTGTCATTCAAGTTAAGCTTTCTGGATGGTAATTCTCCTCATTCAATTTAACGTTCATGTCCTCATTGTAATATTTTTGTGTAGATGATATCCAATTATTGCACCACGTCACTCCTCACATCTACACTATAGCAGGCAGTTGGCTGGGTTTGTCATTAATTGTTCGTGCTACCTAAACATATTGCACAAACACATGCCTGGTTTGTGATTAATTGTTTGTGCTACCTAAACATGTTGCACATAGACATGCCTGAGGTACAGATAAGCTAGGATGACGTCTTGTGTTTAAGAATAAAGTTGTCTTTAATAAGATAGTGTCAGTTTTTACAACTGCACATGTGATAATGGATATAACAACGGACTTTTATTATCATTCAGTTGGTGTTAATAGGCAAAGCTTGTAAGCGTCGGAAACCCATAACACGATGATACAATACGCATGTCACACCGAACATTGAACTTAGAACTTTGAATTGACATGCTCTCCCTATTAAGACCAACTGCATGATACTTAACCTAATGTTGACGTACTCGAATATCATTTGATACTAGAATGCTACACTTTGCAAATCACCAGTGTGGCTGCTGGACATGTTCCTGTCCTCTCTTGAAGTTCGTGAACTAGTTGTTTTGAATTCTAGGAATTTCATGATCATTCACGTTGGTATTTCTGAAAGAACCACGACTGGGTTTTGGGGGCATTGCTCGGAAATAAAGTTGAACATGATAAACACACATCAAATATGAACTTACCGCTATGTATTCGAGGAAAACAGTACTACGGCGGCCAAGCTCGAGATAACGTTGCGTCGTCTGCTCACACAGAAGTGCACAAACGAAAGCGCCCTCTACGAGAAGCTACAATTTTAGAGTAGCGTCCCTTGAATGAAATTTCCGCGATGCTACCCGGCGTTGTAACTACGTTGGGCCAACGTGGGAAGGCTATCCAGGATTCGAACCCACGATCTGACACAGCAAAGATCGATGCAATACTGCACTGCGAGCTTTTACACTATCACAGCTATGTATGTATGTACGAGTTTATCAAGGTGCGTCTCAAAGATACTTCATAGTGTTAAGACAACTTCATGTATTAATAACAGAAACAGGTTTCTGCCTCTACATATATACTACTCTGTTGTCATAACTACATGCTCAGTTCTATATTTCATTTCTGTGATAGAGTAAACTACGGTTATTAATGAAACGAACTCCTGCGCATTTTACCAGGAAAATAAAATAAAATAAAATAAAATAAATGAAATAAAATGTTGGTTTACATGTCTGTTATTTATATTTGAAACAATGTACCACGCTTTCCTTCCACAGCCTATGTGGGATGCTACAAAGATCTGGAGAATCACCGTGTTTTTCCTCACGAGAAACCGTCTTCCACTGATATGAACGTTGAGATGTGTATTAAGGAATGCTCTGGAAATCGATATGCTGGCGTTGAGGTGAGTAAAGTAATGTGCACCATCATGATGGAAGATATATTTCATGATTATTAAAAAAATAGTATCAAAATAAATGATATACATATTTGAAGACAAAGTGAGTAAGTGAGTTTAGTTTTACGCCGCACTCAGCATTATTCCAGCTATATGGCGGCGGTCTGTAAAGAATCGAGTCTGGACCAGATTATCCAGTGATCAACAGTATGAGCATCGATCTGCGCAACTGGGAACCGATGACATGTGTCAACCAAGTCAGCGAGCCTGACCACCCGATCCCGTTAGTCGCCTCTTACGACAAGCATGTGTTACTGAAGATCAATATTCTAACCCGGCCCTTCACGGGTTAAAGACAAAGAGTGAATACAAAACATCTCGGAGTTTTTCGGGTTTTTTTGTCTTTGAAGATGTAATACAGCTATCGATGTGTTTGGTTCTACACCAATGTATGGATGGACATATCTTCTACAAGAATGGCAACGAGTATTGGAGTGGATCTTCGGTATATTTGGTTCCACCAGGGATTCGAAGTAGAATCTGAGAAAGGATAATCCCAAATATAAGATATGTTCCATCGGACCACTTTGCAAAAGGCATTGTGTATCCATGAATACATGGGTATTACTAATTTTCAGTGGTCCATTCATTAGACTTTGAGTGCTGTCATCGCCGCTGTGTACTGACTACTAAGCATTGTGTATCCTTGAATATATATTGCCCTTAAGACCACTTGAAATCTAGCCCTGAGGTTTCACACTGACGCTGTGTACTTCTCCTAGAATGGTGACGAGTGTTGGTGCGGGGCATCAGTGGACGATGACACGAAGGTGGCGGAGGACCACTGCAGGATGCAATGTTCGGGCGACCATGGTCAGATATGCGGCGATGCCTGGTATATATCGGTGTATACAACAGGTACAATTTATCTGTTCGATTTAATGCCTCATGAAAGTATCCAGAAAAAACATTTGTTTTAAAAGATGACGCCTGTTACATATCGGTGTATACAACAAGTACAATGTATCTGTTCGATTTAATGCCTCATGAAAGTATACTCATGCCAATAATGGTTGTCACCCCTGTCAATCTTATTTATTGGAGAGGGTGTGTGGGGTGTGGGGGTTGGGGTGGGGGGGGTGACAACCATTATTGGCATGAGTATAGTTAGAAAAAAACCCATTTATTTTAAAAAGATGAAACCATAGCCTATATATGCCAACACTTTAAAAGCACCATTCAATAGATTTTATTGAAATTTGTTTAATAAGCATTGTTATTTTAAATAATATGCACAGACGATACGTTGGTTTATTATTATAAAAGTGCAATCAAAGGTTAGTTACGTATTGTATGAGGGGCGGTAGGGTAGCCTTGTGTTCCTGTGGTTACAGCATTCTCTCGTCACGCCGAATACCATGGCATTGTTTGCCTGATCAGCATTATTATAAAAAAACCTTCATTTCAGCTTCAGATTTCTCAATCGCTCTAGTAGGATCAGCATTAATATTAGAAAAAAGTTCACAGTTCAACTGTCATTTCAGCTTCAGATTTCTCCAACGTTGTAACCAAAGGCTACATATCTCCTGCCAGTGGTCTTCACATGGTGTCGGGTCTGGCTGCAAGCAGGGCACATCCTGGCTACCTGTATGCCATCAATGACAATGCCGGGGCAGACAAGATCTACATGGTTCATGATGACACAGCTAAAGTAGCAGGTACGTACAAGGAGTTGTCAGTATACTGCAAGCAGGGCACATCCTGGCTACCTCTATGCCATCAATGACAATGCCGGGGCAGACAAGATCTACATAGTTCATGATGACACAGCTAAAGTAGCAGGTACGTACAAGGAGTTGTCAGTATACTGCAAGCAGGGCACATCCTGGCTACCTCTATGCCATCAATGACAATGCCGGGGCAGACAAGATCTACATGGTTCATGATGACACAGCTAAAGTAGCAGGTACGTACAAGGAGTTGTGTGTATACTGTTAGTGTTTCTCCTTTCCTGGTGAATATACATATCAGTGTTTGGGAAAATGTAACTCGCTGGACAGATACTTGTTATACTGGCGTTCATGAAAGCTAATTTACTGTGAGTTTCCCAGTGTATTTCTTGTCCACATGATGCAATATCTTTGGCTGCAAATAGAAAATATACAATAAAGAGATGAAGAAGAAGACAGGCCATAGAAGAAGAAGACGGACTGTGCTTCCAACTGCTCCTCACTCGGTTACACCATTTCCAGATACTTATTAGAGATTCTATATTCAGTGGCGTGTAAACATACAAGTCAAAGATGGAGAATTCAGGCTGTAGAAGAAGAAGACGACAGTGGAAGAAGACAGGCTATGGGAGAAAAGGACTGACTCTGGAAGAAGACAGGTTATGGGAGAAGAAGACAAGCTGCAGAAGAAGACGAGCTGTAGAAGAAGAAGAATGCAGCAGAAGACGAACAGACTTATATAGAATAAAGACGGAAACACGAAGAAGAAGCCATGTTATAGTAGAACAAAGGCTATAAGAGAAAAAGAAAGAAAAGCAAAACAAATCACAAACTAATTGTGCTGACGGTCGGCGTGAGTAATAAGAAACAAAAGAAAGGGTAAGTTTCCATTCTGATAAATGCCTTCTTTCCTTGTAATCCAGGTGTGCTTACTGTCCAGCACAGTCATGAGTTCGACTGGGAGGACATTGCTGTCGGTGACTGTCCACGTGGTTCTGGCACATGTATCTTCGTGGCAGATACGGGATCCCAGCATCACAACCAGGCCACGGTGTACGCTATCAAGGAGCCTTCAGCAACACACACCCAGAATGTTCAAGTCGCAGCTACCTATGGTTACAAGTACGTGCTTGCTGTATATCAACTAGAATGGGATAAACTCTTTTCTTTTGTATATCCCGACCATATAGAACAGTTACATGTTGACTGTTAAACAGTACAATTGGATTGCTAATTGGTAACTACTTAGAATTTGGTTGAAAATTACTGTTGGGCAAAAGAAATCACACACCTGCCCATGAAGGTACATGTACCATTTTCATAGAATTAAACCTCAAGGTCATTGATAAGCCATCATGACATTACTAGGTTATAGAAATACACATTGGATAGCAGAGATTTCTTCTGGATGTCGAAAACAGTTTTCACTTCTATTGATATCACCTCTGTTTTTTAGATTATTTAATAGAAATAATGCACAAAGCATTGCTTTTGATGTTTAATCATAAACGTTGGCTCCCTCTGAACCAATCAAACTAACCATGACAAAGCCTGCTTCAATGCGCTCATCAGGTCGAATAACCACGTATTGTTTTCATCCATGCCACTGGGTTTAGTTCGTTATAACCGAAATTCGTTACACCCAGTTCGACTAAACCATGCAACAAGTAACCAGGATAAAACTGGTCATTACAACCGTGAGTTCGTTATAACCGTCAGTTCGTTATGAACGTAGGATACTGTAGTTCGTGGGTGGAAGAGGATGAGGTTTGATTGACGGAGCTTGTGGTTGTGTTGTAGGTGGAGTGAGGGTTCGTCTGAGGCAATGGTGGTAGATTCATCAGGAGATGTGTACATGTTCTCAGAAAACAGTGGAAAACCTGCTCACATGGCAAAACTCCCCTCACAGAACTGGAACAATGGGAAGGTCAATACCATTTACTCAACGCTGACTCTTCCATTCACGTCGTCCAATTCTGGTCCACTTGCAGCAGACATCTCCCCAAGTGGCACAGACCTGCTGATAAAGACGCTGAATCACATCTATTACTGGAGCATGCCTGATAGGTCGGTCACTAATGCCCTTCAACATTCTGGCATTGGCGTGCCTGATGTGTATGAAAATCGCGGAGAGTCCATAGCCTGGAAATGGAATGGTTCTGGGTATTACACAGTTGCTCAAGACTCCCACCAGGCGCTTCACTTTTACCAGCGCAAGGCACCCATTCCATCTACTCAACCACGTCACACCACACCAAAGCCAACTCATCACACAACACCAACTAAGCCAACATCTCCTCACTCGGTTACACCGTTTCCAGATACTGGTTACTACAATGAGTTCGTGGAGATTGGTCACGTCGATTCCTCAAAGGGTCTGCAGATGACGTCAGGTCTGGCAGCCAGCCGCAAGCATCCAGGGTACCTGTACGCCATCAATGACAACAGCCACTCAACCAGTATATACATTGTGGACGAATGGACAGCGTCCGTGGTTGCTACACTGCATGTAATGTCCGCATCAGCTTCTGATTGGGAGGACATTGCAGTAGGCCCTTGTCCTGGGTATGAGACATGTATTTACATCGCAGACACTGGATCTGGCGGTCACCCAGCCAAGAACACCGTGTACAAGATCAAGGAACCCAAACAGATAAAGACACAGAATGTTCACCTAGAAAAATCTTTGCATTTCACGTGAGTATTACGATTTTTTGTATAGACAGATCAAAGTGTCTTCCTTGGATATTTAATGACTACATTCGTCAGAACACACATACTTTATTGACTAACATTAAGTGTGCTCATTGTTCGTTTCAGTTGGAGTGAAGGATCGTCAGAGGCACTGATGGTGGACAAAAATGGTGATGTCTACATTTTGTCTGAAGCCACAGGATCAGGAAGCAAACTGGCAAAACTGCCCAGCAATGGATGGGGCCAGAGCCATCCAGTGACCTTATCTCATTTACTGACCTTGCCTCTTCACACACGCACACTGGGTCCCGTTGCTGCCGACATCTCACCTAATGGGCAAGACCTGTTGATCAAGACGGTGAACCACGTGTACCATTGGCACATGCCTGACGGGGATGCGGAGAAGGCTCTTCAGCATCCAGGGGAGCAGGTGGCATATCATTCTGAAGGTCGAGGGGAAGCTGTTGCTTGGAACACAGATGGGAACGGGTACTTCACGTTTGGGCAAACAGGAAATGACATCCTGTACCTCTTCCGCCATCGAGCTGATCCAGTTTGCAACTGGTGCCACTGAAACAACCCGACCTTTCACAAGTCGACACTGAGATGGAAATGAAATCTCATGATTAAAGATATGCCCAGATCCCTTTCTAAATAGTATTTCTTCTTCAGAATGCGTTCCCCCTCTCAGAGAGCACTTAAGCAGTGGGGTAGCCTAGTGGTTAAAGCTCTTCCTGCCGAAGGGCCGGGTGCGATTCTCCACGTGGTTACAATGTGTGAAGCGCGTGTCGGATGTCTTCCGCCGTGATATTGATGGAATGGTACTGAGTTCTACGGGTGTAGAATTGGTGAGTTCTCCGCGTGTAGAATTGGTGAGTTCTCCGCGTGTATGGTATATGTAAATGGTACACATTTCGCTTATAATTACTGCAATCAGTTCACGTAGTCAACACATCATTACTGCAGGTAACCCCCCATTACCCCTACATGCCACTACCCCCTACAGCTTATAACAACATAGTTAACGGTCTGTTGCACTGTTAATCCACTGCCTGTTACCTATTCCCCACTATGGACTTATCCACTTAAGAGACATAACAACACACAACTAAAAGGTTGAGAGAATGATTTTAATGAGAAGTGATCATCATTTGTCATCAAGATTTTAATAAGAATTAACAATAATTCGTCATCATGATTCTTTGATGGACATTAACAATTAATTGTTAACATTCAATGTTAACATAGTCATTTGTGTCAAGTGTTTCAGTCTATGAACATTCAGTGTTTCAATCTATCCCAGCAGATCTATTAAGCAGATAGCCGACGGCGTCCAAGAACTGAAGAGGTGATTTCTGTCCAAGCTCAAGCTGCTCCTTGAGTCTACACAGGCGATTGTCAATCTCCCTGAAGACTCGCTTTCTGCTTCTTGTCGCAGCACCAAAGTCTATTTGTGAAATCTTCACCCTCTCAGCATGTTCAATTCTCCTAATGACTTCTACAAATCTGTATATGTTCGGATGCCTGTGTGGAATTTCACATTTAACAACCTACACATTATTCAATTTGTAAAATTGTTCTACTCATTAGAGGTTTATCTTTCATCATGAAACTAAAACAACTTTTAACTAAAACAACTTTTAGCTAATCCCAAATTTCCTTGACACAAAACACTAAAGAACAGTTTAATCCCTCCCTTGATCTCATCTGTATACTCTCTGCACTAATCTCTCTTTGGGTCAGTTCATTATGCCAGACAGGTAAATGCCGTGTGTCGTTTTAACTAATGGCATGTAGGGGTACTGGGCTGTAGGGGTAATGGCATTATGTAGGGTAGTGGGTTGTAGTATACATCATTACTGCAATCAGTTCGTAGTAGTCAACACATCATTACTGCAATCAGTTCGTAGTCAACACATCATTACTGCAATCAGTTCACGTAGTCAACCTTACTGCAATCAGTTCATTACTGCAATAGTCGTAGTCACACATCATTACTGCAATCAGTTCATGTAGTCAACACATCATTACTGCAATCAGTTCACGTAGTCAACACATCATTACTGCAATCAGTTCACGTAGTCAACACATCATTACTGCAATCAGTTCACGTAGTCAACACATCATTACTGCAAGTCAGTTCTGCGTAGTCGTAACACATCATTACTGCAATCAGTTCACGTAGTCAACAATCATCATTACATTGCAATCAGTTCACGTAGTGCAGTCAACGTAGTCAACACATCATTACTGCAATCAGTTCATGTAGTCAACACATCATTACTGCAATCAGTTCACGTAGTCAACACATCATTACTGCAATCAGTTCACGTAGTCAACACATCATTACTGCAATCAGTTCACGTAGTCAACACATCATTACGTAGCAATCAGTCAACACATCATTACTGCATCAGTAGTAGTCAACACATCATCGTTAGTCAACACATCATTCAATCAGTTCATGTAGTCAACACATCATTGCAATCAGTTCACGTAGTCAACACAGTTCATGCAATCCAGTTCACGTAGTCAACACATCATTACTGCAATCAGTTCACGTAGTCAACACATCATTACTGCAATCAGTTCACGTAGTCAACACATCATTACTGCAATCAGTTCACGTAGTCAACACATCATTACTGCAATCAGTTCATCGTAGTCAACACATCATTACTGCAATCAGTTCACGTAGTCAACACATCATTACTGCAATCAGTTCACGTAGTCAACACATCATTACTGCAATCAGTTCACGTAGTCAACACATCATTACTAGTTCATTACTGTAGTTCAACACATCATTACAATCAGTTCACGTAGTCAACACATCATTACTGCAATCAGTTCAATCAGTTCATGTAGTCAACACATCATTACTGCAATCAGTTCATGTAGTCAACACATCATTACTGCAATCAGTTCATGTAGTCAACACATCATTACTGCAATCAGTTCATGTAGTCAACACATCATTACTGCAATCAGTTCATGTAGTCAACACATCATTACTGCAATCAGTTCACGTAGTCAACACATCATTACTGCAATCAGTTCATAGTACATCATTACTGCAAATCAGTGCAATCAGTTCGTAGTCAACACATCATGTAGTCAACACATCATTACTGCAATCAGTTCACGTAGTCAATCACATCATTACTGCAATCAGTTCACGTAGTCAACACATCATTACTGCAATCATCATTACTGCAATCAGTCACGTAGTCAACATCATTACTGCAATCAGTTCATGTAGTCAACACATCATTACTGCAATCAGTTCAGTAGTCAACACATCATTACTGTCATCAGTTCACGTAGTCAACACATCATTACTGCAATCAGTTCACGTAGTCAACACATCATTACTGCAATCAGTTCATGTAGTCAACACATCATTACTGCAATCAGTTCACGTAGTCAACACATCATTACTGCAATCAGTTCACGTAGTCAACACATCATTACTGCAATCAGTTCACGTAGTCAACAAGCAATGACTGTAAATTTATTGCATAACAGACATAAGAAAATAACAGACGCAATAAGAAAATATATATACAAATGTTACAAATACATGTGAAGACTAATAACATATTTAAAATATCTAATTTAATATTTTAATTACATATGCATTGATGGGAATTATATAGTTGCTACGTTTATCATCACCAGGTACTTGGTACAGGTAGATGCTCAACTGGCAAGGCTGACATCTGATATATATTTTTCTGCACACGTGTAAATACCAATTAAACCGGAACTGGTTGTTCAGGCGTATACATCCGGTGTCATAGAAGGATGTGAGTGAGTGAGTTAAGATTTCAAGTAACATGGGCAATATTTCAGCCATATCGTGACTAAATCAAACCATAGATTTATAGTCATTGAAAGTACATTTTAAAAACCTGTCAACGAAGGACAGTAAAGCAACTAGATTATCACAGATATATATTTAAAACTAGTAATCAAATCTATTTTAACTATAAATGACAATACAATATAAAACAGGCTTTACATTGCCAATAACTGAAGGTAGATTACCATACTAGGGGCCATGGGGACTTAAAGTGCATGGACCCAAGCTGGGTTTACACCATCAGATGGTAGCAATTTTTGACAATCTAGCAATAAATTTAAAACAACAACCTATATATACTGCAGTTGAAAATAGTAGTACGTTTAAATTTACTATAATTGTTTTAGGACTTACGGACCCTCTCAGGAGGACAACAGTTTGACAGAACTTTAACCCCCTTCGAGGTGACAGCCACTAACAAAATCAGTTGTTGATTTACACTACTAATCAGAAAACAGTGATCTGTTTACACAACTGTAATAAAAATTTATGTCACAACTCTATTTCTTTTTAAAAGTCTATGATTAAATGATAATTAACATTAGTAAAAGGGTCTTACAAAGTTTCTGCCTCTTGCATGGTTCCCAAGCAGGATTGAGCGCTCTGACATATTATATGGAGTGATACATTTATTGGAGTGTATATCAAATAAACCTAACATGAGTATACCACTCAAAACTATAATACGTAACCACTCACTCAATATACATATAATCTTCATTTCCTGAATTTACCCGTTTACCTACATGGACAGTCAGGTATAGAAACATTATCAACACCATTTGCAGCAGTAGTACAGTTGCCATAACATAGTGTAACATTTGTACAGAAATGTTGGCCATTAGTTGCCCAGTCAAAAGAGACATTACAGAATACCCTGCCATATCCCCAATGGATGATATACCATACAGTATAGGCCTGTGCCTATTGACCTCAAGGACCCAGGTGTTAAGTGCCGAGATCACGGGTGAAGTGACGCCAGCCAAAATACTTGTCCCAATCCACAACCATATCGTGTCCAGTTCCGATACGTATACAAGCATGGCAGATACCATGATACCTACAGCGGCGCATGCATTAATCAGAACAGTTTGTTTAACAGCAAGGCTACTGAGGGTTCCAAACAAACGGCCGAACATAACACAGACGTATAACGATAAGGACATATTTGTCAATTGTCTCGTATCTGCATGTAATTTGCAATGTATTCCAAATGTTGGCAAGAAATGACCATATACGAAAATCATAGGCCCACAGATTACAGTATACATTGTGAAAATGATTAAAAATATGCCATCAATTAAACTGATTGCAATCACAGGCATCTCCTTTGGTTGATTCACGTATGTGTCATCTTGAAATACCCGTTGTGTGAGTAAATAAGCTGAAAACAAAACCACTCCAAGAAGTGCCATAATCAAAACCCATACATGAGATCAGAATTGAAACTGTAACATATGCGGTCTCTTAATTGTGTAGTGTAGTTCTGTGCTATAAATGTCATATTGCCATGATGGAAGGCTGGATCAGTTCTGTTCTGTGCTATACATGTCATATTGCCATGATGGAAGGCTGGATCAGTTCTGTTGTGTGCTATAAATGTCATATTGCCATGATGGTAGGCTGGATCAGTTCTGTTGTGTGCTATAAATGTCATATTGCCATGATGGAAGGCTGGATCAGTTCTGTTCTGTGCTATACATGTCATATTGCCATGATGATGAAAGTTCTGCTATAAATGTCATATTGCCGTGATGGAAGGCTCATCAGTTTGTTGTGTGCTATACATGTCATATTGCCGTGATGGAAGGCTGCATCAGTTCTGTTCTGTGCTATAAATGTCATATTGCCATGATGGAAGGCTGGATCAGTTCTGTTGTGTGCTATACATGTCATATTGCCGTGATGGAAGGCTGCATCAGTTCTGTTCTGTGCTATACATGTCATATTGCCGTGATGGAAGGCTGCATCAGTTCTGTTCTGTGCTATAAATGTCATATTGCCATGATGGAAGGCTGGATCAGTTCTGTTCTGTGCTATACATGTCATATTGCCATGATGGAAGGCTGGATCAGTTCTGTTCTGTGCTATACATGTCATATTGCCGTGATGGAAGGCTGCATCAGTTCTGTTCTGTGCTATACATGTCATATTGCCATGATGTCAGGCTGGATTGCCATGATGGAAGGCTGCATCAGTTCTGTTCTGTGCTATAAATGTCATATTGCCATGATGGAAGGCTGGATCAGTTCTGTTCTGTGCTATACATGTCATATTGCCATGATGGAAGGCTGATCAGTTCAGTTGCTAGTTCATGTGCTATAAATGTCATATTGCCATGATGGAAGGCTGGATCAGTTCTGTTCTGTGCTATAAATGTCATATTGCCATGATGGAAGGCTGGATCAGTTCTGTTCTGTGCTATACATGTCATATTGCCATGATGGAAGGCTGCATCAGTTCTGTTCTGTGCTATAAATGTCATATTGCCATGATGGAAGGCTGGATCAGTTCTGTTCTGTGCTATACATGTCATATTGCCATGATGGAAGGCTGCATCAGTTCTGTTCTGTGCTATAAATGTCATATTGCCATGATGGAAGGCTGGATCAGTTCTGTTCTGTGCTATAAATGTCATATTGCCGTGATGGAAGGCTGCATCAGCTTCTGTTCTGATGCTATAGTTCTGTTGTGTGTCATATTGCCATGATGGAAGGTCATATTGCCGTGATGGAAGGCTGGATCAGTTCTGTTCTGTGCTATACATGTCATATTGCCATGATGAAAGGCTGCATCAGTTCTGTTCTGTGCTATACATGTCATATTGCCATGATGAAAGGCTGCATCAGTTCTGTTCTGTGCTATACATGTCATATTGCCATGATGATGATCAGTTCTGTTCTGCTTGCCTAGTGTTACTTTGTGCAACACTGTCAGATAGAAATGGGGAAATGATCAACGGCCCTGTAACGGATCCTGCTGACGTAGCTAAGTTGATGATGTGAATGGTTGCAGCATGCTGCTTACTCAGTTCCCCGGAGAGGATGATCCTTGCTGTAAAATATAAAGATTATAACTGAAAGAATATTTGTCTTCGGTTCGACATTATAATGTTTTTTGTAGCAAAGTTGGGATTTTAATGAAATATTTCCACAATGATTGGGTTTATGTGGATACATTAGGAATAACCATAAGTCTTCAATAAGGGCAGTGAAGGAATAAATCAAATAACAGACTTGAACTGACTCCAACGTTCAGGGCTGCACAAATACAAACATTCGTCCTGTTTCAACACTGCCATTTTACATCACAATAATTTAAACACCACAGAATTCTTCGAATAATTCTTTGCCCCCAGTGCAAACATGACAATATTTAATATGATTGGTAAAATATAATCAATATTGTTTATGAGTGTTGAATATATGAAAATGTTATTCATATTAACTTCCGCCTGAAGTACTGATTACCTCGCTCAAAAAAGTTAAATATGCAAGGGAATGTCATCACGTACAACGTCACTCAACGTTGCAGATGGGGTTATTCACGTAAGAACGTATTAAATTAACACTTATAACAATCACGACTTCATTGCTGACCTGAACACTTCAACAAACTACCATTCTATATGCTTTGGAGTGAGTTTAGTTTTACGCCGCACTCAGCAATATTCCTGCTATATGGCGGAATATATGCTTTGGAAGGCATAATATTGTAAACTGTGTATTGCATGTCTTATCAATTTGCACAGTTACATAATGAAACCGCTGTTTTCACGAGATAACATATTGCCTGCAGAACATGCATGTACATGTGTGGGTTAACATTAGCCTTACCGTGCACTGACGCTCCATGAGCCAATCCAACTGCGCCCGATAATCCAAGTGCCATCCAAAATGAGGGTAGTACAGGAACGACGGCCAAGAGACAGCTTGCCATTGTCATAGTAGCTGCTGCTACTCCGTAGATGTCGACACGACGTGGCATTTTCAAGAACAGTAGTGCCCCGATGACCCTACCTGCTGTAATGGCAGGCTGGAACAGACTGACCTTCTGTAGTGTCACATTGAAGATACATTGTAAATCTCGCAGTGCAGGTCCCATGCAACTGTCAACCATGCCCTGTGGAGAAACACAACATCAGGTATGGAAACTTTACAACTAGACAGAAATAATGGAATGGTTAATTATGTGTGGCATATTGACAGTAATCTGCGATTGTATGTACAAAATGTATAACGTTTAAGGTGCAGTTCAGACTAAAAGGTAAAATAGAGTTAAGAAAAAAAGAAATAATTCATCATAGCGTTATATACTTACGTGCTGAATAAGACAACACATCATTATATACTTACATCCAACACTGCTATCAAACACAGAAACCCTATCCGAAGATATAGCTTTGTGGACGTTTTCATATTGTGGATGCCCGAGGCAATGGAGGCCGTTTCATCGTAGGTTTGCAGCTAACATCTGGCGTTTGTCTGTTTATATTTACACCGCATTCGTCATACTAGAACTAAAGTGTAGACCTAAAAAGCATAATTAAACGCAAATGTTGATTTAGACTTGTTATTCTAGATGAGGATTTAAAAATACGAAACTACATCAGTGGAACACGTGTCCCAACTTGATTTTCATATGTCTCTCAATGCAGGTCCCAATCAACTATCAACGATTCCCACTGAAAGCTATTGCAGGTAAGCAATGCTATTAAATTAAACTTACCTTGTGAACAGGTCCTGTGGCGTTGTGCGTCAGGAGGCTACATGTGTATAAAGTTTAAGTGATTGTCATTGTAAGAACGCTTGAAGTGTTTCTTGCAAATTTAATATGTTACAGCTAGCCTTGACTGTATCATTCTTTATGTATGAATCCAACAACGCTACTAAACACATAGATGGTTTCCGAGCAAATAGTAGTGTTGAACCGTCCGTTTTGGCCTATAGTTTTCATGCAAATCTCATATGTTACAGCTAGCCTTGACTGTATCATTCTTTATGTATGAATCCAACAACGCTACTAAACACAGAGATGGTATCCGAGCAAATAGTAGTGTAGAACCGTCCGTCTTGCAAAGTTCACCTGTTATCATTATCAGATTGTAGGATTCTTTTGCATGACGTTCAATGTTCAGCTAGAAGTCCCTTGCAAAGTTCATCTGTATATCATGTATATGTATATTTAAATCAACAACGCTACCAAACACAGAGATGGTATCCGAGCAAATAGTAGTGTAGAACCGTCCGTCTTGCAAAGTTCATCTGTTATCTCTGATTGTTTGATTCTTTTTGTATGAATTTGTATTGTATACTTAAATCTAACAAGGCTACTAAACACATAAATGGCATCCGGGCCGTCCGTCCGTCTAGTCCTGTAGTAGATGCATGAATGCATCCAAACCTGTTCCATCACAGATAATAATAATAATGATAATATGTATAACGCGCCTTTTCCAGGTGAGATATCCTGCTCAAAGCGCACAATCTGATCATTATTACCCCGGATAACCCAAGCTGCCTGTTAGGCGCTAGAAGGTTAATAGTCTCACGACTTATTTCACCGGGTACCCATTTCCTGCTGGGTGAACAGAGGCAATTGTGAACAAACTCACTTGCCTAAGGTGAGACCACATGTGATTCGTTGTGGGGCAGGACTGAAGTACTAGAAACTCTCAGGCTGCCAACACGGTCACCCATCCAAGGGCTGTCCGAGCCCAACGTTGCTTAACTTCAACTTATTTGTGACCTGAGCGCCATGCACAGGACCACGTGCCACCACAGATATGCTATTGGCCTTTGATTCAGCTGGAAACTTTAATTATATAATATGCAAATGCTCATATCATGTTTGATCTATAATTCACCCTAAAAAATATCTATAATTCACTCACAACACAAACACTTATTTTTATTATTTCACTAGGCCACTAGATCACTAGTGAATAGAAAACAAATGGTTTGAACAGGAACGTCGCTGGTTCCATGCCCAGCTGTCCTACCAAATTACATTGAAAGGTGGTGCTTGTTGTTACCCTGCCTGGCTCTATTCAGAACAATCTAGCTCTTACACGTGAGAAAAATAATGGATCAAGCATTTTATTACTTCTGACATAATCTACACTGCGAGATATCAGAGACACCAGTTACATACAGAGTCGTCCCTGTGACGGAAGAGATACAACATGGCATCGTGTCCTTGACCGAAAGTAAAATACCCGTCTCCTTCAGTGTTCCAAGCAACAGTTTCTCCATGATTGTCAGGATGGTATGCAACCTCTTCACCCGGGTGTTGGACAGCCTTCCAGACATCACCGTCAGGCATATGCCAATGGAAGATGTGATTCACCGTCTTGACTAATAAATCCTGACCCTTGGGTGATATGTCTGCAGCCACAGGCCCAGGGCTGTTTGTATGTAGCGGCAAAGTAAACAGAGATGATAGGGTCACAGTTTGGTTTCGACTCCGTCCACTGCTGTACAGCTTGGCTAGTTTGCTGCCTGTACCTACTGACTCGGATATAATATAGACATCGCCGTTTTTGGCCACTGCCAACGCCTTTGATGAAGTTTCGCTCCAGCTGAAGAGAACGAACATATCAATTGTCAAGTAAAAAACAACCCAACCTGGCTTAATTCCACACAACATCTATCGTCTATCGTCAGTGCTAAATAATACATAGTCTAATGCTATCCTTAGAAACATATTCCAGTTGATGAAAAGGGCCATGCAATAAAGCCAATATACATTATTGCTTGAAACTTGTCATCTTGTAACGGAAGCTCCTGTGATATGGATGTAGTTTATAAACATGAGAATATATATAGCCGTAATTTAACATGGATGTCTTGAGTGTTAGTATTAAAAGCGAATTTGGTGTTAATGTTAGGATTGAAGTGTAACTACGGACAATATCAAATCAAGAGTTTTCCAAACATGAATGTATCATAACAAATGTTGTGGTATACCGAAGATTCTCATCTTACATGAAATGCTGACTTGATTCAACGTTAACGTTCTGGGTGGTTACACTGGTGGGTTCCTTGAGCATATGCACGACATTCCTCACAGCATGATCTGTATCGCCGGTATCTGCTATGTAAATACATGTCCCCAACCTGGGACAAGGTCCTACTGCAATGTCCTCCCAGTCTCTTACAGACTCGTCCTGGACGTGAAGAGTAGCAACCACTGACGCTGTCCATTCGTCCACAATATGTATACTGGCTGAATGGCTATCGATGGCGTACAGATACCCGTGATGTTTCCGACTAGCAGCCAGGCCTGACGTCATGAGCAGATCTTGTGAGGAATCGATGGGTCCGATTTCTAGAAACTCGTTGTAATAATTAGAAACTGGAACTTGGGTACTTGCATGAGTAGATGTTTGAGGAATGGCCATACTTGTTGACAAAGGTGTTGTAGGTTTAGGGGTTGTGTAGCTTGAATGTTTTCGTTTATAGAAATGAAGCGCCTGTTGGGAGTCTTGAGCAACTGTGTAATACCCAGAAACATCCCATTTCCAGGCTACAGACTCCCCGTGATACTCATACACATACGGCACGCCAACACCAGGGTGTTCAAGGGCATTACTGACCGACTTATCAGACATGTGCCAGTAGTAGATATGATGGGGAGTCTTTATCAGCATGTCTGTGCCACTGGGGGAGATGTCTGCTGCAACTGGACCTGCATTGGGAGACGTGAAGGGCAGGGTCTGTGTTGAAAGGACATCGACGGTGTGTCCAGTATTCCAGCCTTGTGCAGGAAGTTTTGCCACAGAGGCAGGGTGCCCTTCGTTTTCTAAGAACACAAACACATCTCCAGAAGAGTCCATCATCGATGCCTCAGATTTCTTTCCATTATTCCTGAAACAAATAGGAAAGTTTAGAATAAAACGAATCGGCAATATTGCAGTGCTTTACTGAAAGGGTGAAGAGACAAGTGGGGAGATACTAAATCTGTATGTATCAAGGAATTGGTTTATTCGTATTACATAGCCATGACATCACTAGGTCACGCTGTAACTATTGTGTTCATTCACAACAAATAAGGTTTACAAGGTAAGTATATAAAGCTTAAAGAAGCTCGTAACACAGATGATATTCATTGTGCAGTCGATGTTAGTTGGACATAGGTCTCCTACTGACATTATTCACATGTAATCCATTTGCCAGTTACAGCTACCCACAGATCCACGCGTCTATTATTGATATAATGTTAACTGTTAAGTGTGACAAAATGAAATAAGTTTAAAATACTTCGGCCGATTTCCAGAGTAAGGTCGGGTTAACAATTTTCACGAAAACTGATGTTAGACCCGGAAGATGTAACAGGTGTGACTGATATTCAAGAGACTTTTATTATTCTACCATGACATCAGTAAACACTGGATTGTGATTGGTTAATTAAAGTCATTCAGAGGTATATAATCACGTTATACAGGTCTCTGTTTTCCGTGCGCAATCATACATGGTTTACGGTAATGCACTATTTTTGTCTGCCCACTAACATGGCGGACACCAAACAACCTACCGATGCATCGATAAATTACGGCGATTTTACTGTCGGAAATTACACATATGTCTTTAAAGATGGATTTAGCGATGACGGGCTCGACTCACTACTTGCGTAAATCACAGCAATAGGTGTTTATACATACAAAAGTACTTCGAAAGCATGGAAACAAATATTCAGTCGAACAAGATCAAAACATCGTCTGCTTTCCGAATAAAAATTCAGCAAAAACAAATATGTTTACGTTGATTCTATGTTATGTCAGAATAGATCCAGCAATAGACTGCTACATAATTTCCCGTGTTAAATTTATTATCAGCTTTCGTCAACGATATCGCCACTGATCTTGATCCGGTAACGGAGGATGCATTAACATCGAACGCCGAAGAAATTTTAATGCCTTCCGTCGACATAAATAAACAGTTGGGTTATCAATTCAAACAAAATGATAATTTTGAAATTTGTACTGTTTCAAATTTAGCGGTAGTAAAACACAATTACAGTATCTGCAAACCGTTCTGTTTAGCCCAACATATTTTTTTTTCTAAAAGTATAATATCGTTGAAAAAGTTATTTAGCTTAGTCATGATCCCTCTTATCCATTACACTGCTTGATCTAAAGTAGTCTATTAAAGTATAATTAATTACCTTACCGTGTTTATGCCAGAGGTACACCCTCATGTCCTGATCCATCCTTTCGGAAATATCACCACAAATCTGTCTCTTTGTCAACAGACTCGCGAACATGCCAGCGAATCCGATTCAATTTGAATTCACTACACTTTGAAGCCACTAGGTCACAAAACACTTTCCAAAATGTAGAAAATAATATCCGTAGAATCGAATTTGAGCACAAAGTACACACATGAGTGTGTAAGAGTCATCACAGCTGTCGCACGCAGACGTAGAGGTGCGTGAAATCGTCAAGTTGACAGGGCGCAAAATTCAACAGTATCTAAATTCGGTACAACACGGACTCCTCGTTACAGCAAAAGCGCCTCCACTCTTAAATTTTGTACCAGTACCAGTAATTAGATATCAAAGACTATCTCAGTCATACAATCAGGTTAACCTTGCGCAAACTGTCAGAGGCTCTCCTGTCGCATCTTTCCAAATTTGCACGTAAATGTAAACAATGACTTCCGAGAAAAGGTCAAGGCCATGAGGTTGCTGCCATTATTCTGGTGGGGTAAGGGTCTACTGTGGAATTTTCAAATGTGAACCAAGCTTTTTAAACTTATTTGATATATGTTTTCCAACTTATCAGTTAATGATTGGTGATTGATGCATTGAAAAAACAAAACGTGATTTGTTATTACTGAATCTGGAGTTTGTTAGTCATTGACGGTTTGCCACCAATCACCCCGTTTCGGGCGATGCCACTTGAGATTGGAATGCGAGGCCGCTTCACGTATTGACTCGTAACCAAAGAAAGAGCTCCACCTGAAATTGTTCATAAAATTGTCATGGTAGAATGGAGATAAACCTACTGTGTGGGAAAATCAGAGGTATATAACGAAATTATAATAGCTCTAAATTGTTCATTTAAAACCTCACGCTACGCGTTCGGTTTTAAATGAAATTTAGAGCTATTATAATTTCGTTATATACCTCTGATTTTCCCATCACTGGTTTGTTCAGACTTAGTCATTCTATCAACCACTGATTTGTGGAAGCTCAGGTACACTAATCAATCACTGGTTTGTTCAGACTTAGTCATTCTATCAACCACTGATTTGTGGAAGCTCAGGTACACTAATCAATCACTGGTTTGTTCAGACTTAGTCATTCTATCAACCACTGATTTGTGGAAGCTCAGGTACACTAATCAACCACTGGTTTGTTCAGACTTAGTCATTCTATCAACCACTGATTTGTGGAAGCTCAGGTACACTAATCAATCACTGGTTTGTTCAGACTTAGTCATTCTATCAACCACTGATTTGTGGAAGCTCAGGTACACTAATCAACCATTGGTTTGTTCAGACTTAGTCATTCTATCAACCACTGATTTGTGGAAGCTCAGGTACTCTAATCAACCACTGGTTTGTTCAGACTTAGTCATTCTATCAACCACTGATTTGTGGAAGCTCAGGTACTCTAATCAATCACTGGTTTGTTCAGGCTTAGTGATTCTATCAACCACTGATTTGTGGAAGCTCAGGTACTCTAATCAATCACTGGTTTGTTCAGGCTTAGTGATTCTATCAACCACTGATTTGTGGAAGCTCAGGTACTCTAATCAATCACTGGTTTTTTCAGGCTTAGTCATTCTATCAACCACATATTTGGGGAAGCTCAGGTACACTAATCAATCACTGGTTTGTTCAGACTTAGTCATTCTATCAACCACTGATTTGAGGAAGCTCAGGTACACTAATCAATCACTGGTTTGTTCAGACTTAGTCATTCTATCAACCACTGATTTGAGGAAGCTCAGGTACACTAATCAACCATTGGTTTGTTCAGACTTAGTCATTCTATCAACCACTGATTTGAGGAAGCTCAGGTACTCTAATCAATCACTGGTTTGTTCAGACTTAGTCATTCTATCAACCACTGAGTGGTAGAGTCAATTTCTTTCATTTATGACTGTTGTCGAGCTTCTGCTGCAGAAACACTGCACATACACAGCAGAATGTCTTGGAGAGAGCAGCAACTGTATTTCGCCCCGCATAAAAGTGTAAATATGATTTGACTCCCGAAACTTGGCAGCAAAAATGTTACATCTGTACTGCTTGTTCCTTCGTCAGTTTTACAGGGTGTCCAAGAACACCTGGTGTCCCAATGCACCACAGTCATTTAACAAGTATGTTGCATCAAACTTACACTGCAGGTTGGTCTTTTGCAGCAGAGGAGTATATTCCAGTAATGCAATAAGGTTCTGGAATATTGCTTACTGACAGAAAGACGACACTGACAGACAGACACTGACAGACAGACATACAGACAGACATACAGACAGAGAAACAGATGGATGTCAGGTTCACTATTTATTCTTGTTGCTGTCTGTTGTGTCTCATCAATGGTCAAAGGGGAGACAATTTCAAAACTTTGGTGGAAGAGTTTGCTCCCTTGATGAGCTGTCAGTCAGCAATTCTCAGAGTGCTGGTATAGAATATTTAAAGGCCAGGTGAGTGTCCTGCGAAGACAGCGGCCTTGCCATATCATTGTTTATTGGCATATGGTATTAACAATCGGTGCGATATTAGATATGGATGTGCCTTTTTCATATAAAATGTTTTTTTCAACTTCATATACTGCTGGATGTTTCTATGTCAACCACAGAAAAAGTAATAGACTTTGCTTCTTTTATCACAGGAAACAGTTGTTTGTTTCATAATGTTTCTGTTTAGATTTCTGTTTAATTTCAGAACAGAACCTTGAAGAGACATGGTAATGGCAGTGATCACCTACAGGATGTTGAGGCTGAATAGAAGACACGGGATGTTGCTGCTGCTGCTGCAATATGTCACATGTATGACTAACATTACATGTGAAGGGGATTCTGCTTCGGCAAACTGCATGTCAAGTTTTAATTTTCATATGATCTCTCAGTGTGGTCCTATAAGTTTTTAAAATGACCCATGCATTTTCACTGAAGGGGATTATTGAACACACTTGTC